AGTCACCCTCAGCACTAACAGTCAATGGATACATGGCAGATAGGATAGCATCAAAGTCTAGAGCAAAGATATCAACATTCTGCTTCAGCAGCTCCGCCCAGTTAGAGAGCTCAAGTGCATCAAGAAACTCTGCGCGAAAGGCGTTGGTAAGGCGGTAGAAGCAGCGGTGCTGAGTGTGAGGCCTCCCGCATGTCTGACCAGTGCGGTCACCTGTGCGAATGACATACGGGCAGGAACCACTACCCCCAGCCGCCCCACGCTGAGCAAACCACTCACGGAGCTCCTGAGACGAAAGGGGCTGACGGTCCTGCTGCCTCTGGCCACCTCCAAGGCCTCCCCTCTGGCTGGTACCACCCCTGCCGCCACCACTGCCTCCACCTCCACCCCCACTGCCTCCACCTCCACCCCCACTGCCGCCACCACCGCCGCCACCACCGCTGCCTCCACCACTCCCACTGCCGCCACCACCGCCGCCACCTGCCCCTCCGCCCCCACCACCACTACCTCCTCCGCCGCCGCCCCCTCCACCGCCTCCACCGCCCCCACCACCGCCTCCACCTCTGCCACCCCCACTGCTCATGCCTCCCCTGCCCCTTCCGATACGGCGCCTCCCACTAGGGGTAGACGCAGCTCCCACCTCCTTAGCACGAAGGTAGTCAACAGCTGCAGCAGAGGCGACTGAGGGGAGAAGGGGGGAGGGCGAACACCCCTCAAAGAAGGGGGTGCAAGGAGTGCCACGAGAAGCGCCTACAGCGACTATGCTAGTCTCAGCTGCTAGGAGGTGCTTCTCGAGCAGGTCAACAGTGAGGTCGGTGGGGTCAAGTGCTAGGAGGAGGTCCCTGACTGCAGTAAGAGAGTCTGGGAGGCGGGTGACTATGAAGTAGAGCGTGATGTACATGGGGGGGGGGGTTCTTGGCGAGAAACTCGGCGAAGAGCGCAGCACGGTAGCGAGTGTCACTAGTGCGGATGTGAGTGACTAGGTCGGCTACTGTGGCAAAGGCGGACAGGTCTGGGAACAGGTAGGGCAGGAGAAGGCGGCCTAGAGCAACAGTGGCCGGGGAGGAGTAACGAGCGACTACAGCGTCGTACGGTGCTTTAGCTGTCTTATGCTGGCCAAAGTGGGCGCGTTCGGCTAACGGCAGGTGGTTGCGAACAGCTAGGCGAGCAGCAGCGTCACGGGTAAGCCACTGTGAGCGGGTCGTACTGTCAGCTGTGGCGTCAGGGGCGGGCGAGGCGCCAGAAGTGAGGTCAAACAGCGAGGTACCGTCCTTAGAGTCTGTCTGCAGGAACAGCTGTAAGTCGTCTAGCCACGCATTGAACTCTATCGGGCGGCCCTCCGAATCGAAAGTGAGAACGTTGAGAGTGGCCATAGCGAGCGGAGCAGTCGGGCGCAGGCAGGGCTAGGCAGGGGAGCGCGCTAGCAGCAGTGCAGCAGAGAGCGGCGCGTGGCGCGCACGGCAGGGCAGGGCGTGTGGCAGGGCAGGGCGCGCACGGCAGGGCAAGGCGCGCACGGCAGGGCAGGGCAGAGGCGCGCGGCGCGCGGGCAGGGGAGAGGCGCGCGGCGGCGCGGCGCGCGGGCAGGGCAGAGGCACGCGGCGCGGCGCTCGGGCAGGGCAGAGGCGCGCGGCGGCGCTGCGCGCGGACAGGGCAGAGGCGCGCGGTGGCGCGGCGCGCGGGCAGGGCAGAGGCGCGCGACGCGGCGCGTAGGCAGGGCAGGCGCGGCGATGCGACACGCGGGCAGGGCATGGCGCGCTGCTGCAGGCGGCGCGCAACTCAGCAGGGCACGCTGCAGCAGGCGGCGCGCGGGCAAAGCAGGGCAGGGCAGGGCAGGGCAGGGCAACGCGATCACAGTGGCGCGACGGGTGGGGTAGCGCTACTCGGTGGGCCCTAAGAAATCGGTCCTAGGCTAGGACCTGCTCTGAAACCATGTCAGAATAACGAACAGGAATGAATCAACTAGCAGCAGGATGGGTACAAGTAGCAAACCCTAATTTGGGTTGTACCCCATATGGGCTACCCCACTACAGCCTACACAATAAGCAGCATATATGTTTGACAACATCCGCAAGCTACCTCCCGAGCTGACGCTCAGGTGGATCTTCAAGGCCCGGAAGGTCGTGCTCAAAGACTTGACCGTGCGTTTCTCACATGTGGCATCAGCAGCGCTCTGCATTGGTCCCAAGACAACCTCTGCATGCAACATCGGCGAGACGCCGTCAAGGGTGAAGTTGAACTGGATGACAAAATTGCAGCATATGGATTCTGCTGCAACAATGTAGAGGAGCCAGAGTCGGACTCGGAGGCCGACCTAAATGACCCCACCACAGTTGGGGACGATGCGTAGGATGTGTAGGTAGTATAGAATGTCTTAGAATGATATGAAATTTGCTAACCTCCCGGATTAATTTTTGAGTAGTGATCACAAGTGTAAAAAACTCCTTTATATATATATGTATATGAAAATGGGGTGGGGCTTATAATTTGTAATCCTTCATGGGTGCACTTATAATCGAGGATCGGATCCAAGCGCCGCCATCTTTTTATAACCGCCGGTGCTTATCCGAGTGCGCTTATATCCGGGGGCTTACTGTACAACCAAACTACAAGCAAGGTGCATCACCAACAGGACGGGTTCATTTACACACTACAACCTATACAACAAGCGGTTTGAATGCATAATCTTAACACACCCCCTAAACTGTTGGCAGCAAGACCTAGTACAAGAATACCATTTGAAGGGGTACAATTCGTAGTAGGAGAAGGCAGAAAACCATAGAGTTGAGAAGCGAAGGATACAGTGGCAGGCAGTTGCAGCGACGACAGATGCAGCGGTGCCAGATGCAGCGGCGGTATATATGGTGGCTACAACAGCAACAACGGCAGGTGCTCATCAACGGCATGTGCAGCTACGGCATGCGCAGCGCTGGCAGGTATGCCACCATCAGGTGCGGCAGGTGCAACGGTAAGGCGCAGTAGGGTGCGATATGCGCGGCAGGCTGACGCTGCAGACGTACGGCTGACGCCCCTGCAGCCTCCACCCTCACTGGACCCGCCGCGGCAGGGCGTGCGACTGGCGAGCACGTGACGGTGCCAGCAGGGCGCAGTGAGGTCGACGGGGCCAGCAAGGCGAGATGAGGCGAGCAGGACGAGACGAGGCCAGCAGGGTGTGATGGGGCCAACAGGGCGTCACTTGAAGAGCGGCGTCGACAGGGCCAGCAGGTACAGTACATGCATCGACTTGGGGCTTGCCAGCTGTTGGGTGCTGATAAGATGCTACTTATGAGTAACACCCTGCATCGACTTGGGTCTTGCCAGCTGTTGGGTGCTGATAAGATGCTATTTATGAGTAACACCCTATGGCATCAGTGTAAAACATCTCGGTATCTCAACCTCAAGATGAGTGGACGGATGTTGAAAATCATGATAGTGCGAAGTTCAGAATGATCGCATGATGATGGTAATGTTTGTTAATATAACAGAAGGATCTTTCGGTGAACATAATAAGTTGCCAAGTGGGAATAAGACAACGGTAGTGTTAAATTGACCTTGCTATAGTGAATGTAAATAACAAGTTGATAAATAAAGCATTCCAATTAGCTCACAGTGCTTTGTCAAAGCTAGCCATGCACTCTGAGAAGAGCATTTCCTTATCAACTGTTTTGCAGGCATCAGTACTGTTGGAGAAACTGTTGCAATCCGTTTTTTTGTTACAGAGTCGTAATGCATATCCTCTAATGACAGTTGTGTGGCAGTCAACAGTCGTGACCGTTGACTTTCCCAACTATTGGCCTTCGATGCATGCTCTATACGAGCTAACACTATATTGGTACATGGGCTGATTGTTATAAATCAATATGCTAAGGTGAAACCTTATATTATGTTAAATGACCACCCGGTTATTCCAAGTGTTTTTTTGCAATGAAGTATCAAGGTGAAGGTTTTTCTAATGCATACCACTCACGTATTTTCCTGAATCTCCATGCGGCGTTGTGGAAGTACATGTGTGCTTCCCAAATAATGTCCCCGTCCACTCTAGAAAAACATGCGAGTCCAGCAATTAAGGCAGGGTTGGTCTTTGCACCGCTGCACAAACTTTTGCTGTGCTGAAATGCATGCAAACTAGTTAGTAACGTATCATGTTAGGTTTCTTTTGTTGGTGGTGTACCCCCTTTGCCACCTTCCTTTCTATAACTTGTACTTGTTCTCATTATTGTAACCCCTTCTCGCTCAACCCTCTCTCACGCTATTCTCTACACTCACTACGGTTTCTATGGCTCCTAACTTCTAAGCACTATTCTGTCATGCAAACAAACCGGGTTCTTTCCTAGAACCTTCATTTTCTTTAAGAATCATGGGCCCACCTGTCACGCAACCTGTTACCGTATTTACCCGGGTAATAGACCCGGGGGTCTAATCCTACCCCGGAAAAAAAAGGGGGGTGGGGCCATTAGCTGGGTGTAAATGCAATAGACCCGGGGTCTAATCCTATATGCATTGTTTTTCAAACACCCTAGTGTTACAGCATCAAAAGCCATCACCTTCTATGGAGTCAGCGAAATTTTGACCATGCGTCTGACGCGGTCTGACACGGGTCTGACGCGCGACTGACGCATGGTCAATATGCTCCAATCAACACATTTTTGCACAACTCGACCAGTTCCTCACTACTGTTTGACCCGAACTTGGTTAGGGGGGTCTAATATGGGATACATTTCTCTAAGGGGGGTTTATTACGAAAGTGCATATAGCATAAGACCCCCTCCCATTTAACGACCCGGGGGTCTATAATTTTGGGGGGTCCATTACCCGGGTAATTACGGTACGTGCCCCCTCGCAGGCCTTGTCACGCGCCTCCTAAGGCGTCGCTGCCTGCCCAATGTCAGCCCGGCAGCAGCGCGCGACCAGCAGCAGCAGCGTGCGCCCCATGCCAGCGCGTGACCAGCAGCAGCAGCGTGCGCCCCACGCAAGCGCGTGATAGGGAGAAGCAGCTGTCACCGAATATGCACGGTTGTGCATATAAGGTGCCAGTTATGTTGAGGTGTAGTTCTGGTATAGTTCTGGTGTAGCAATGTTGTGCAAGCAGATTCGAGGGTAGGTAGTTGGGGAACCAGGGAAGTTGACGCGAGGTTGGTAGGAGAGCACCAAGGGAGAAATCCACGCGACCAATGTGATTGAACCAAACCCAGGCTCGAGCCGCACATTGAGAAATGCACGGTTCGAGCCCAGGCCAGGTAAAGTCACTCTCTCACACAGCCCTGATGCTTTCCGTTTGTTATCCTTTCGTATAGTGGACTGTTGTTGCCCAAACTTTGCAGACAGGTGGCACACCACTCAGGAAGGACCCTTGGGGTGAGAGTTACATCACTTACATAACAAACGGAAAGGTGCGCGTGCAAGCATGGATGTGTACGAGCTGCGTTATGGCAGGAATTATGGTCGCCGTGAGGATGATCGCTCGCGGCGCGAACGCTCACGTGAGCGCGGGCGTTCGTTGGAGAGGTCGCCGTGGAGGCCTGAGCGCTCGCCGCGGAGGCCGGCCTTTCGCGCAGATCTGGTCCCTCTCGCGCCAGATCGCCGAGGAGGAGGAGCAGAGCGAGAAGGAAGAGGCGGATCTGAGTCCGCCAGGATGGGAAGTGACCCGTGGCGGACGGATGCGCGCCACGGAGCTGGTGGCGATCATGGATATCGCCAGGACACGGGAGCGTATCGCTCGCCGGAAGAGGGTTACCGCCGTCGCGAAGATCGGAGTCGCGGGCGTGGCCTGGAGGAATTATTCTCTGGTCGGCAGGGAGACCTCGATGTTGACGGAGAGGACGAGGCCGACACAGCGAATAAGGCGCAGGAAACGGATCGCGAAGGCGAGGCGAAGGGCGATGACGAAGCCCAGGAGGAAGGCGCAGGCGAGCAGCGCGATATGCCCGCTGGAGTCAAGGAGGTTGATCCGACGCAGGCGGGCGTGGCGGAGGAGCCAAGCGCGGTGAAAGCGGACGGGAAGAATGGTGCTCAGAATCAGACGCGTGGCAAAGAGAAGAACGACGGCGGGAGGCGTAGCAGCGGCGCGCGCTCACCGAATCCGCGTCAGCACCGAGACGAGAAACGCGGAGGCGGGGTGCGCGTGTCCGATCTGCGGCAGCACCGTGACGAAGGGCGCGGCGACGGCGTGCGCTCACCAGGCCTGCGACAGCATCGCGATGTGGGGTACGCTGGCGGCGCGCGCTCGCCAGATCCGCGGCCGCCGCGTGACGAGAGGCGCGAAGGCGGCTACCGCTCGCCTGATCCGCGGCCGCTGCATGACGAGAGGCGCGGAAGCGGTTACCGCGGAGGTATCACGGCGGGAGGAGCGAAGGGGGCTCGCGCTCACCAGATCCGCATCACTATCGTGATGGGAGACGCGGAAGTGGCTATCGCTCGCCCGGCACGCAACGGTACCATGAAGGGAGGTGGGGAGGCGAGGCGCGCTCGCCGGATTGGCGTCAGCGACATGAGGAAAGCCGGGGAGGCAGATACCGCTCGCCGCAGCGGCAGCGAAGCAGGGATGGAAGGCAGGGCGGCGGGTCTCGCTCGCCTGGGCGGTATCGGCAGCGTGACGAAAGATGTGCCGATGAAGGAGGACAGGATCAACGCGGCAGCAGAGTGGGAGGCAGCGGGCTGATGCACAGCCTGGAGCGAGCCGGAGAGGCAAGGGAGGGGATACTGCGGGCGAGAGAGAAGGGAGCATCTGGCAGGTCAGCAGGCGGGCAGAGTGAGGCCTGGGGAGAAGGAAGGGGAAACACGGCTATGGTCACGAGAGTGGAAGTGCCAGCACGCTTCTCAGGGGACCAGCGTCTGGGGCCCACGCTGAAGAATTATCTGATGCAAGTGGGCAATGTACGGTACAGATGCGAGAGGAGCGGCATGGACGCAGTAGACTTCTTTCTGAGTCTGCCAAACACGCTGGAGGGGGAGGCAAAGACACTGTACAGGATGAAAATGGATGAGCTACAGGAGAGGGCAGGAAGATATGGGGAGGACCCAACGGAAGAATTCCTGAGGCGGCTGAAGCGGCAGTTCCCAGGCCATACCGCAGAGAAGATTAGGGAGTTCCAAGATTTCAGGAAGGGGCGGGGTGAGTCACTACTCACCTACTATAACCGGCTGGTCAACCTGGCGGAGGATGTGACTTGTGCAGACATGGGCCTGCTCGTGAGCAAGTTTCTGGACGGGCTGGAGGGCACTTTAGGGAGCGGGCTGCGGATGAAAGTGTACGAGATGGGGGCCGACACGACACTAGAGGAGGTGTTTGAGATGGCAGAGAAGATGGAGTTGGCACAGAGGAAGTATGAGGCATACAGGCCTCGAGCAGCAGAACGAGGCAGGGGACCTACGTGGGCTGCAGCCATGATACCGGAAGAGAGGGACAGGGCTGCAGGAAGAGGGGAGACCAGGCCTGACACTCGGACGTGCCACAGGTGCGGGCAGCCAGGACACTTACGCAGAGACTGCAAGAACTGTGACTCTTGTGGCAAGCCAGGGCATCGGCGACGGGAGTGCCCAACAGCGCCGAAGTGTGAAATCTGTGGGAAGGGAGGGCATGCAGCGAAAGAGTGTTACCAGCGAGAGGGCGCGGCGAAAAAGACGCCAGAAGACCTGGAAAGGCAGATTAGCAGGCTACAAGCCCAGCTGCAGGCAATGGGACCACGACGCGAAGCAGAAGCGGGGATGTACGCTAAGGAAGAAAAGGAGGAAGATGTAGAGCAGGATGAGGAAGCCGCGTTCATGAGCTGGGCAGGAAGAGCAGAGGATGAGATGGAACACGAGGAGCAGCCAGCATATATGGCATGGAGAGGAAGGGAGGAGATGGGGCTGCGCAGCGGAGGAAAGGATGCACGGAAGGAGCAGGTGAGAAAGGAACAGGAGAGAGGGCAGAAACCGGAAGAGAGGGAAGAGAGATGCACAGCGGCACGGCACCCTCAGGAGAGGTTGGCTTGCCAGACTTCCGTGCTGCTGATCCAAGGGGGCGCGTTGTCGGTAGAAGGGGAGAAGGCTAAGACGGCTATTATAGACACTGGCGCGCAGAGCGTGATACTAGGGAAGGGGATGGCCGAGAAGCTGGGACTGTGGGCACCGGACAGGCATGTAGTGAAGGGGATGCTAGTAATGACGGCAGAGGGAGGAGAATCAAAGTGGATGCCGTGTACAAGGACTCCAATAGAACTGACGGTGCTAAAGGGGGAGAAACACGAAACGCCGGTTAGGATCAGGTGCGGGATCTCGGAATCTGAAGATTTTGACGTCCTGGTGGGCACGGAGATGATCTTTGCATTGGGCATGACCATCTGCTTCTGGAAGGAGACAGTGGAATTCAGAACCAGGTGGTGGAGGAAGGGTGAGCCACTGGGACAGCTGCCTGTGCAGTTTGTCAGGACGGAGCCAAAAAGGGCTTACAGGGCAGATCTGAAGGAGATGACAGCGAAACAGGGGGCACAGGAGAGCACGACAGGCAGGGGACAGGGTAGAGGGCCCAGGATGCGCTTCATGGACGAGCCTAGCCAACAGACCGATTGGCAGCAACCAATCCGGCTGGTGGAACTGTTCGGAGGTATAGGGGCGGGACTGGCAGCAGTGGTGCGGAATGGGATTGCAGTGAAGCAGTGGATTTACGTGGAGAAGGCAGCAGAAGCAAGGAAAATGGCGGAGCATCATGCATGGGAGTTGCATAGAGAGTTTCCGGAACTGCTGAAGGGAGAAGTGATCAAGGCAGCAATGAGCAGAGGAGTGAATGACGTGAGGGCCATCACGGAGGCTGAGGTGGCAAGCTGGGGGCACGTGGACCTGCTGGTGGCTGGGTGGGAATGCCAAGGGGTATCATGGGCAGGGAAGGGCAAGGGTGAGCAAGACCTACGGACACAACTGATGGAGGATCTGTTCAGAGTCATGGAGTGGATGCAGGCTAGACAAGGCAGAGTGGCCTACCTGCTGGAGCACTTAGATATGGAAGGAGATGTGCGAGAGCCAATACGACTGGTAAGGGAGCGAGTGACCAGACAGGTGGGGAAGGGAGTGAGCAGTGACGCAACGCGGATGGGAGCCTATGCACACAGGCTCAGGATGTACTGGCAGAATGTGGTGCCAGCGGAAGACCTGCAGAAGGAGATAGAAGAGGTGCAGAGAGCAGGGGGGCGGAAGCTGAGCGATATATTGGAGCCCGGGAGAACGCCAGCACCAGTGAACAAGAGGAGCTACAGCCGACATTATCCATGCAATCAGGTGGGGCAGGAGAGGCAAGCACTACCTACCCTGGTGTCGTATGAGGGGGAAGCAGGGTATCGGATGGACGGAAAGCAGCCAGGCCCAGGATTAGTGCTCGACCACAGGAAGGGACGGTGGGAGGAGCCCACGGCCTTGGAGAGGGAGCTGGCCATGGGGTACAAGGAGAACGCTACAGCAGCCCCTGGCGTGACTGAACAGGAACGGAGGCGGGCAATGGGGAATGCAATGGATGGGTACATGATGAGGTGGTTGGTGCAGCGGATGTGGAGAGAGACAGTGCTGCACTGGGGACTGAAGGAGGGAGAAAACACAGTGGCAACGGTTAGGCAAGGGGCGTGGGCCTGCCAGCAGAAACAGGAGCCAGAGTGGAAGATAGGTGAGAGCATGAGCGAGGAAGGGAGGGCAGCAATGCGGGCACTGCTGGCCAAGCATAGGAAGGGCTTTGCCTTCACCCTGCTGGAGTTGGGGAAGTGTAAGATCAAGGAGATGGCGCTGAAGCTGAATAGTGACGAGCCGGTGTTCCACCGCAGGAGGAAGATGCCACCAGGGGATGAAGTGATCTGCAGGGAAAAGATAAAGGAGTTACTGGAAGCCGGACTGATTAGGAGGTCAGAGTCCGAGTACGCCACCCCAACCGTGATGGCAGCCCGAAAGGACTTGACAGGCGAGGTGCTGAGTAGGAGGATGTGCGGGGATTACAGGGATCTTAACAAAATTACAGTGCCAGATAGATACCCCATGCCGATGGCAGAAGAGCTCTTTGACAAGTTGGCGGACGGGGTGTTCTTCACAACGCTGGACCTGCGACAGGGGTTCAATCAAATCAAGATCAGAGAGGAGGACGTGAAGAAAACGGCCTTCCACGGGCCGGATGGGCTGTACGAGTGGCTGTATATGCCCTTCGGCCTGAGGAACGCCTCGGCAGTGTTCCAGAGAGTTATGGACGCGGTGCTGCGGGGAATAGAACACGCGGCGTGCTACATCGATGATGTCGTGATCTTCAGCTTGACCGAGCAGCAGCACCTGGAGGATGTGGAGAAGACACTGACGGCCATAGAAGGGGCAGGGCTCACGTGCCATCCCAACAAATGCAGGTGGGGGGAGCAGACAGTGCAGTACCTGGGGTACGAGGTCACAGGGGGGCAGATTGGGATTCAGCAAGCGAAGGTACAGGTGCTGGACAGGCTAAGGGAACCGCGAGACAAATCAGGACTGCGTGCGGTCTTGGGCTTCCTCAGCTACTACAGGCGCTTCGTACCGAACTTCAGTAAGCGAGCGACGGTGCTGAATGGGATGCTGCGCGAGGACAAGGCATGGGAGTGGGGAGAGAAGCAGAGAGAAGCGCTGCAAGACCTCATGACAGCCGTGAAGACAGCGACTGTGCTGCGGCTGTCAGCAGCAGATCAGCCCTTCATCCTCTACACCGACTGGAGCAGCCAGGGGATGGGGGCAATACTGTGCTAAGAGGTGGAGGGAGTGGAGAAGGTTGTGGCCTACGCCAGCAGGAGCTGCAACCCAGCGGAAGCACAGTACAGCTCATACATCGGGGAGGGGCTGGCGGCAGTGTGGGCGGTCGGGCATTTCCGGATATACCTGCAGGGCCGAGAGTTCACCCTGGTCACTGACCATCAGCCTCTCACGTGGCTGATGACCACGCCAGGGCTGACAGGGAGGAACGCGAGGTGGGCAGTGAAGTTGCAGGAATATGATTTCAAGATCAGGCACAGGCCGGGGAAGACGCTGCAGCACGTTGATGGTCTCTCCCGCAACCCACCACCGCTGGAAACGGAACAGGTAACACAGGGGACGGAAGAGACAGAGCAGAAGCCAGCGCATACCCTGATCTTGCTGGCAAGAGAGGTGGAGTAGGTGGGTGCAAGAGGGAGTAAGGGGCCAGCTGACATCTGGCAGGATGCAAAGGCAATGGAATGGGTGAAGGGAGAAACCGAAGAAGATGAGACGGTGTCTGAAAGGGTGAGGGCACGAGGGCACCACTACAGGTGGTACCAGCAGCAGCTGCAGATCAAGACGGAGGATGGCTGGAAGCTGGTGCCAGCGCCCGAGGACCGTGAAGCAGTGATCAAGGAAGTGCACACTAAGCTGGGACACTTCGGGCACGAGAGGACCGTGCACCTGCTGAAGACGGGCTGGTGGTGGGAAGGGATGCGCAGGCAAGTGAAGGAGTGGGTGGAGGGGTGTGAGGCATGTCAGAGGAGCAAAGCAAACCTGACACAGGCCAAAGCAGAGCTGCACTCACTGCCAATCTGCGGGCTGGGGTTCCGATGGTCCCTAGACCTCGCGGGAGAGCTGCCGCTAAGCAGGAGCGGGAATCAGTACATAGTGTTCATGGTGGAACATGTGAGCAAGTGGCTGGAGGTGAGAGCCATCCCTAGCAAGAGCGCG